GTCCTCCCAAGGGACTTAATAAATGCTGGCAAATTGATTGGTCGGGTCCAAACCCTTGTTTTATGAATGGGAAGGTGACTCATAAGGAGGAAGGGACCAAGGCAGGATTTGAACCCAGGTCCTGTAAGCACCAAATCCTGTCCTGAAGCCGTGGGTGTGAGGCCTCCCTGGGGACAGACCCCAGACTCTTCCCGTGTCAGGGGCAGGGCTCAAACCCAGGTCTTCTGACCCATGGTGGGCTCTCTGCTCTCACCAGCCCAGAACACTGTGGAACTTGGAGGCAGAGAAGATCCCCTTGGTGCTGTCCTGTGCGAAAGCTGAGGCTTGTCTAAAAGCCGAGCCTCTGCACCTGGCCGACCTGGCCCCTGCGTGCGCATTGGGCGCCAGAGGACGTACACGTGGCCTGGCCGGAGCGCTTACACCTTCCCTGAGAATTCAGGCTCGCCTTCACCCCACACTTTGCTTTGCTTTCCTCTTAAAGTCTGTAAATAGTAATTACTTCCAGTCTCTTTTCTCTGGTCTTGCTGGCCCTGTGTTCATTAGAAGTGTCATTGAAGGGGAGTTGGAGTTTGTGTAGATGTGATGAAAGCCAGCAGCAGCTTCTCCCTGTATTACTGGGATTTAAGCAGAAGCCCCCGTGTATAGGGGGAGGCAGTTGCTCCCCTGATTATTCTAACCCCCCTTTTCACCTGCGAACTTTGAGGAGAGCTGTTTCAAGCAGAGCAGAGAGATGAGGGGCAGGGGCGGCCTGCAGCACCCCGCCCCCCAGGGAAGGCCAGAGCCCAGTGCTAAGACACCCACAGATCTGATGGGGGTCATAATTGCTGAATAATGGATGTGGAAGCTCTGCCCACTGCTGCCTGTTGGTATTACCATGCTGCTGCCTGCTGGGGGGGGGGGCAGAGGTTTACCTACCTTGGCAGAGATCAGCTCCACCTCCAGCCTGGAGCGCCTAGAGAGTGGGGTTGGGTTTCTGTGAGTCCTCTCACTGGCTAAGGGCCCACTGGCCACCTGGACAATAATGCTGTCCTGAGCTGGCTTATCTCAAAGACCACAGCGAGGGTTTCAGCCCAGCTCACCCCTGAACACCAGTGTGGAATAGCCGGAATGCCCCGATCTCCTCAGCTCGAGGCTGGTCACTTTCTTCAGCCACAGTGGCTCAAAAAGACCATCCCCAGAGGCCTTCAGGGCATCCCTTGAAAGTGGGCAGGAGTGCCAGAGACCAGCAGGGCAAGCCTTTCCATTTGGCAGAGAAGGAAATATACCCAGGAAGGATGAGTAACTAACCCTAACCCAGGGTCATACAGGCAGGGAGTGCCAAAGTAAAACCCTTCCTCCAAATCCAGGGCTTTTTCCAGTTTTCCATAAGGTGTCAAGGGTCCTAGCCATTTAGATGGGGAAGTACCCACAGAGCTTGGGCCCCTTGAACTGTGTAAAGGCATTTAGTTTAAAATGCACTTCCTGTCCCTCCTTCCCTCTTTCCTTCCTCCCTCCCTCCTTCCCTTCCTTCCTCCCTCCCTTCCTTCCTTTTCTTTCCTTCTCTCCTTCCCTCCCTTCCTCTCCTTTCCTTCCTTCTTTTCTTTCCTTCCTTTCTTCATTTCTTCTCTCCCTCGCTCCTTCCCTTCCTTTGTCTTTCCCTCCATCCCTCCTTCCTTCCTCTGTCCTTCCTTCCTCCTTCTCTCCCTCTCTCCCTCCCTCCCTCCTCTTCTCCCTTCTCTATAAATAGGAAAAATTATTGAGCAGTTTTTGCCAATCACGGCTTCAGCAGTGCTCTGGAAGCACTCCTTTCCCATTTCCTCCATGACTCCTGTCTCCTGCCCAAGCACAGGCAGGATGGGAGATCTTGCCTAGAAGTCGGGGCTGCGTTGAGCAGGAGCTGAAGATCCGGTGTCTCCTCACTCGTTAGGTTGGAGCTCTGGGAGATTCTCTAGTTTCTCTGGGAGCGAGATCGTGCCTGAGAGCTGTGCTCACTGGCGTCTGTTACTTCTTTTCTTTCTTTTTCCCCTCCTGATCCTTTTGTGACAGTGAGAGGTCCCCTCCAGCTCTCTTTCTGGATACTGTTTGAGAAATGGATATTCTGAGAGGCAGCTTTGGGGAGGGGGAGAAGGGGAAGGAGGATGGAGGGCCCACCCCACCAGGCACACCTGTTAGCACTCAGCCCTGCAAGGGCATCCCAGCATCCAGGAGCACAGACACGCCTTTGTGAGCAGCAGGAGGAGCAGTGACATGGAGCAGAGGTGGGAGTCCGTCATGGTATAAACATTGACAGATGCTGGCTCTGCCCCTCCCCCAGCTGCTTGTCCCAGGAAGGGCAGCTCTGGGCTGTAGGGTAGAAGGAGAGCTCCGTGAGGGCAGGGCTCTTTCGTTTCTGGTGCCTGGTACTCAGTCGGTGCCAAATAAGTCCTTGCGGACTGTGCTGTCACGTGGCTGTTCACAGCATCCAGTGTCCCCAACAATGGTCCTCCAGCCTTCACTCGGGAACCTTCTAAGAAGGGATGCAGTCCACTCCGAGGTAGCCCCTCTCTTCCACCTGGGGACAGCTCCCATGTGTGTTTTCCCTACCCAGAGCCTAAGAGAACTCCCCTTCTCCAGGACAGCCCCTCAGAGATCAGAAGATGTCTATCGTGCTCCCAAGATGTTCTCGCCCATCTCATGACATCTCTGGCCTTCCTGGTCTCACACTCTCTTCTGCCCCCCCCCCAACCAGCTCATGGCTCCCAGAACTACCGTGACCCTATCAGGGAGTGGCTGGCACCCCCCACCTCAGGGCAGAGCCAAGTGGGCACCTAAGCACCCCATCTCATCATCACCCTGCCCCACATAGAAGCGGGGCTCCCTGGTGACGCCCTTGGCCAAAGCTCTTCCCACCTGGCTTTGGCCCACACTCTCTAGTAGGTGGCTTTATTTTGATCTCACCTTACGAAACCACGGGAAATATTCTGGGAGTGAGGGATAATGAAGCCATTTTGGAAGGCGACCCTCCCAAGAACTGCCCTCTTTTTATTTTTATTTTTACTTATTTAGCCAGTTGGGGTTAAGTGACTTGTCCAGGGTCACACAGCTAGTGTCAAGTGTTTGGTGTGAGGCCAGATTTGAACTCAGGTCCTCCTGACTTCGGGGCCGGCGCTCTGTCCAGTGCACCACCTAGCTGCCCCAAGAACCGGCCTCTTGCTGAAACAAGTTTGTAGGTCATTTTTGCCTGATTTCAGAATGAATTGTTAATGGCCAGACAGAGGGAAAAACTCTTCCTGTGGGCTTTTGACCCTCTGCATCCAAGGTGACTCGCGCTTCCAGGAAGGATTTTGTGTGTCTTCAGAGAGAGAATCAGGAAGAGTAGGGCAAGAGGAACCCAAGATGGAAAGTGAGGGCCCCCCTCCGGGAGGGGTCCGGAAGCCATGTGTAGGTCATGGCTTGCCAAGGCCAGATGCGTTTCCCCCAGAGACGGGGTCAGTGTGGCCGGCGTGACTTGGGACCCCCAGCAAGGTGAGCCTTCTCCTGCCCAGCAGGACTGTGTCCTTCAGTGGCCTGGGGGTCTCTGCCTCCTCAGCCAGGGCTCATGTCCCCTGCAGACTGTCAGGATCCTTAGGGGCAAGGAAGCCGCTAGCTCCTAATTGCAGGCATGAGATAAGAACAGTGGGCGTGGGCCCCACTCTCTCCTGGAGGACTTTAATCACCCCTTGGCATTTGGCTCTCTCCTGGATTTCCACAATGTCACGATGACCAAAAAAGCCGTGAGAGTTAGAGGCAGCTGAGGCTGCTGTGGGTCTGCGCCAGCCACCGAGGAGGCTCTGGGTGAGGTTGATTCAGTCACAAGGTGTTTCCCGGGAAGGGAGGCTTTGAGTGCTAAGTGCTGATCCCTTGGAAAAGGTGAGGGCCTTGGATTGTTCCCATTTTTACAGTTGAGCACGCTGAGGAGAATAGAAGAGGTGAAGAGCTTTGCCCAGGTCACATAGCCAGTAAATGTCTAAGGTGGAATTTGCACTCAGACCTTCCTTACTCCAGACCCAGTGCTCTGTCCAGGGTGCTGCTCAGTTGAATGATGGAGAAATAGAAAGTACTGATTTATTGTGTGCTAATTCATGGGATCCAGGTGGGAGAAAACAGCCAGCCATGCTCTCTGCACACATGGGAGAGCTCAGCTGCCGGGTGGGCCCAGACAGCCAGGCCTCTTCCTTAATGCTGCCTCCACCGTGGATGATGGCACCGTCTGACGGGGCTGAGGTGGACGTTCTCTTGTGGGTCTTTAGCAGCAGCAGTTCCTGCTGTGGTTCCTGGAGGGCCGGCTGGGCGAGGGGACGGGGAAGGAGGGGGGCTATAGTGCCTCAGGGCAGTTGTGTCCAGGGCTGGGGGTCCCTGCCACTCTGACTGTAAGAAGTGGTGCTAGTGGTGAGGAGGGGACCGTCAGCTGTGATTGTGTCGCTCTTCGGACAGCGGCACCCCCAGCTTACGTGGGCCTCTCTTATGGGGAGGTGGGCGGTTCCCACTCAGGGTCTGCATCACATGGTATGGTCTGAAGTGGGGCGTGGGTTATGGCTTCTGACCAGGGCACAGAAGTGTTGGTGAAGCTGGCATCTCAGCCTTGTTTGGCAGCCTCCAGGACCCTGGCCTTAGAGGGGGAAGGCAGCCCTAGGCCAAGGTCATGCAGTGAATAAGCCCCCAAAACAGGATGTGAACACATGTCCTCCCTTTCCCAGCACCCTGGCTGTGAGGGTCAGTGGCTGATAACTAGTCGGGCCCCAGTCTTTTTGTGTAACTAATGACCACTTTCCCTGTCACTGCCCCTATCGGAAGCCACAGAAATGGGGTTAGCATGGGTAGAGTGGAGTCTCCCTGAGGGCAGGGCCCATCCCCCTCATGTACTCTGCCTCCCCTTCTCACACACACAGTCGCCTTTGCAGGGGGGGGCCCGAGGTGGGAGGGAAGGTGCCCTCCTGCCCTGGCATCTCCGCTTGAGCTCAGCTCCAAGTGACTGACCCCTCCCCCATCTCTCACGCCCACAGCAGCAGCAGGAGATGCTGGCGATGAAGCATCAGCAGGAGCTCCTGGAGCACCAGCGGAAGCTCGAGCAGCACCGCCAGGAGCAGGAGCTGGAGAAGCAGCATCGTGAGCAGAAGCTGCAGCAGCTGAAGAACAAGGAGAAGGGCAAAGAGAGTGAGTGCCTGGGAGGGGAAACCGAGGCGCTGGCCTGGTCGGCCCTCCTCGGGGTCTGCAGCTTCCTCGTTTGTGTTCAAGTAGATGGAAGCGTAATAGGACTTCTGATTAGATTTAAACGTTTCAGAGTCCATCTGGCAGATTTCCTAATGGATGGAGAATATGAAAAGCCGTAAAGTACCAGACGCACTGAGCACTTGCTCCCCAAACCCTGGTGGACGTTTGTGCAGGTCGGCTTGTTGTTCTAGAAGGTTTTGGAGCATGTGTGAGACACGGAGAGGGAGAAACTGCCTCAGTTTCCTCAGGTGTAAAATGGGATCTCAACAGCCCCACCTTTCCACAGTTGTCGTGAGGCTCAAAGGAGAAAATATTTATTTGGAGAGCTCTTAGCACAGAGCCTGGCACAAGGGAGGGGAGGAGGCTCTAGATGCTTCTCCCCTCCTCCTCTTCCTCCTTCCTTCCTTCCTTCTCTCCTCCCTCCCTTCCTTCTTTCCTCCCTTCTCTCCTCCTTTCCTTTCTTTTTCCCTCCCTTCACATCTCCAGGACATCAGACTCCTCTGGAGAGCACAGGCAGTCCCTCATCCCATTCCCACAACAGTTTGGTCTCTTTCACTGAGTTGCTGTATGTTCAGAGTTTTTCCTTCCCCGTCATTGGGAGGGCGTGAGTGTCTGGCCTGTTCGTGTCTAGTAAAGGGGTTGGTCTGGAGGCTGGGCTGAGACCGCCTCAGTGCTGCTCGTCCTGCTCCGTGCCCGGCCCCTCCCTGGATGCCAGGGCAGCACAGGTTGGTACACAGGCAGGAGCGTCAGAGGGGCTTTCTCACTTCACTTGTCCCAACGTGATCCAGGAAAACATCCCTGGAAGAAAGGGGGCTGGGATGGAGACCATGAAGTCCATGTGGGTGTGCCGGGCCCCTCCCCCTCTGCCGCCCCTCTCCCCGTGCAGCGCCCCCAAGACCGACTTCCCATCCCGGGGCTGGGTGGGGCTCCAGGGCTTTCCATTAGGGCCTAATGGCCCATCCTGCACAACCCATGAGGGTTTCATTCCCATCAATGAGATCTACTTGAATAGAGCCCGTTCCAGACTTAGAGCTATGTGTGAGTGTGACAGTGTGAGTGTGTGTGTGAAGAAGTGTGTTTGTGGAAAATGTGAATGTGTGTTTGAGTGTGTAAATGTGGGTGTGTATGTGAGGTGTTTGAGTGTGAAAACGTAAGTGTGTTTATATGAGAGAGAGAGTGTGTGTGTGTGTGTGTGTGTGTGTGTGTGTGTGTGTGTGTGTGTGTGTGTTTCAGACCCAGGACTGAATGCGTAGAAGGAACTTTGAGGGCCGGAGAATCTGCTGCAGATCCCTCGCCCTCTCACCAGTCTCAGGGGTTTAGTAGGCACCTTGCATGGGCACACTTTGTTCTAGGTGCTGAGGGCAGAGAGAGAAAGGCAAGCAAGGCCTGCCCTCAGGCAGCTTGCAGGCTGGTTGGGGAGCAAGAAATAAAGCCTAGAAGACTTTTTCAGTGGTTCAGTCTCCGAGCATGTGCGGAGCCTAGCGGCTCCCCCCCCCCCCCCCCCCCCCCCCCCCCCCCCCCCGGCCAGCTGTGGACAGCCTGTAGAAGCCTCCTGGGCTCCAAGGTCCACCTGCAGCCCTCCTGCCTAGGGCCATCCCCAGGCCTTCACCAAGTCTCCATTCTACTCCCTCCTCCAGGAAGCCTCCCCACCCCCTTAATTCCAGGGCCTCCCGTTCCTGGTTGCCTTTGTGTCCTGGATGTGGCCTGTTTGTATCCATTGGCTACATTAGATTGGAAACTCCTCGAGGACAGGCGCTGTCTTTTGCCTCTTTTTGTGTCCCCGGCACTAAGCCAAGGGCCTGGCACACGCTGCCGTTCACTTATTTTTCAGCCACGTCCAATTCTTCATGACCCCCTTTGGGGTGTTCTTGTCAAAGGTCCTGGACTGGTTCGCCATTTCTTTCTCCAATGCATTTTACAGATGAGGAAACTGAGTCAAAGTGACTTGCCCAGGGTCACACAGCTAGTAAGTGTCTGAGGCCAGATTTGAACTCTGGTCTTCTGTCCAAGCCTGTCACTCCATCCACTGTGCCACCCAGCTGCCACTTGGCACATATAGCAGCTGCTTAATAAATGTTGATTGACTGTTTCAACCTATAATGTCCCTGAAATCAGACAGTCTTGCCCCCAAGGCAGCTCTGGCCACTCGGTCACGTGTCCAGGCATATCACAGGCGTGTCTGTCAGCCCCGCCCTCCACACAGCTCCGCAAAGCGACGGGGCTGCCGGGACAGAGCAGGCTGCCTCCTGGAGCTCGGAGGCATGGAGGCGTTTGGTCCAGCCCTTATCCGTGAGGGAATCTCCTCCAGCCATCCAGTCCTGTGGTCAGTCCACAAGTATCTGCTAAGTGCCTGCTGTAGTGCCAGGGATTCAGAGAAAGGCAAAAGCCAGTCCCTGCTCTCTTGCCACTACGGGGCGCCACGATGGATCTAGCACCAGGCCTGGGGCTGAGAAGACCCAAGTTCAAATCTAGCCTCAAACACTTTACTGGCCGTGTGATTCTGGGCAGGTTACTTAACCAATGTCTACCTCAGTTTCCTCAACTGCAAAATGGGGATAATAACAGTACCTCCCTCTGAGGGCTGTTGTGAGGATCCAGTGAGATCCAGTTTGTAAAGCTCTCAGCACAGTGCCTGGCACACAGTAGGCGCTGTACAAATGTCAGCTGTTATTATCATTCATGGGAGAAACAACCTGTAGATATCTAGGCCCATAGGAAATATCCGTGGAGCGGAGAGAAAGCCGTGAAAGCCTCCTCCCCCAGGACTGAGCAGAGCTGGCTGTGGTTTTAGGCTTAGATGACTATATATATGATATAACGTATTATATAAATAATATAAAATATATTACATGTTTATATTATCATTATTTATTAGGTTTTATTATGATTTGTAAATGGGGGTATGTGCACATGCTACATAGATCCAACCCCCTACACACATGTGCATGCACAAATACACGTGAACGGATGGTTGTGCCCCCTCCCACACCCCATGTGTCCGGCAGGCCCTTTGGCCCATCTCCCTGGCTTCTGGGGGGGCTCTTCCTGAGCTCTTGAGGACCGTGGACACCCACCAGTGCCACCATCCACCTTTCTGGGTCAGCCTGGGGGGTCACTGGGTGGGGAAGGCAGCCACTCCCTTGACAGCATCCCTTCTAGGGTGGCTGTCAGGACAAACAGGAGCATCCAGGAAGCATGTAGTGTGCACATGCCTAAGGCCCATACTACTTGTACATGCCCCTCACATGCATGTACATACCACACATCACACACACATACCGCACGCCATCCCCAAGGAGTCGTGTATGACCAGGCCCCTTCTTTGCACTGGGTGTTTCCTGGGCCCTGATCTCTAAGCCCCCCAGCCCTGGAGGACGCAGGGACAGGCAGGAAGGCCAGGCAGCAGAGGGGCTCACGTGAGTTCTGGGTCATCCTTTCTCCTCGGGTTTTGGAGGAGGCATCTCCAGCCCCGGCCCATGGGTAGGCAGGAGGCTCGCGCCCCACAGGTTCACTTCATTAGGATTTTTCCAAAGCAGGGCGGCTAGTAAAGAGCATGAAAGTAAAGGCTGGAATGTTCAGCTGATTGATTTCCAGCAGAACAGAAACCCAGCAAATCCTCATTTTTCCAGTTAAAAAACAAAAGCATCTTACTTGCTCCAAATCAGGACCATATTAAAACTTTCCAATAAAATATTGTCTTGTGGCTTGGAAAATATGGAAGGCTTCAGCCTTGTAGAATGTTTTTGGTCCTTCTGTAAACAAGAGAAAACAATGTTTTTGATTGGCTCCACGGTGCCCTCCCTTCCCTCTTGGCCAGCCTCCCTTCACCTACCCTCCCACTTCCCCAGGAGCAAGAGACCATGGGATGGTGAGACTGGGAGCAGCCCTCGGAATCTGTGTGGCCTCCCCACCGCAAGCTTTTCTCTCCCCGCTGTGCCAGCTGCCCCGAGCCCCAGGGGCCGCATTCCTCGCTGGGCCCCACAGTTAGGAAGGGCCTGGATGATCTGCCCACAGGAGAGGGGCTGAGATGGTAAAGAAAGGGCATGGCCTGCGGGCCGGGGCTTGTGTCACCCTCGGGAGAAGACTCCAGGCAGGCTTGAGAGTGGCCTCTAAGCCACAGACTTTCATTGGCCAAAAGCAAACAGCAAGCATTTGTTAAACTCCTGCTGTGTGCTACATACTGTGCTAAGGGCTGAAGATACAAAGGATAGAAAAAAAAAACCGTCCCTGCCCTCAGGGGGCTCACAGTTTAAGGGGGGAGGCAGCCTGCAAACAACTGAGCACATGCAGGTTGTAGCCAGTGTAGACAGAGGGAAGGGCATCTCCCAGGGCTGTCTGTGTGTCTGAGCGTGTCTGTATATGAGTGTGTGTGTGTGGTGTGTGTGTGCATCTGTGTGTCTGAATGTGAGTGTGTGTGGTGTGTGCGTGCATGTCTGTGTGTCTGTATGTGAGTGTGTGTGGTTGTGCGTGCATGCCTGTGTGTGGTGTGTGCATGCGTGTCTGTATGTGTGCACGCATGTGTGTGTGGTGTGTGCGTGCATGTCTGTGCGTGTGTGAGTGCATGTCTGTGTGTGTGTGTGCATGTCTGTGTCTGAGCGTGACTGTGAGTGTGTGTGGTGTGTGCGTGCATGTCTCTGTGTGTTCGTGGGGGGGGTGCGTGCATGTCTGTGTTGGCACATGTGAATGTGTCCATGTGCAGCACCTGTATGGGCGTGTCTGTGATGCCTGCGTGCAGGGCGGGTGCCTGTGAAGACTGTCTTTGTCCCTCCCCCCTGTGGTGCTAGGCGGACCTAGGCCTGAGTTTGCACCTGTCTTTCTTGCAGATGAGCCCCTCCCCCAGGCGGCTGTGGCTGCAGGCGGTTATTCAAAGCCCAGAACAGAAAGCCCTCTTCCGACTCCTCTTTGCCTTCACTAAATCTGCATTTTCAAGCTAGGGGCACAGTGATGTAAAGCAGGCCCCCCCCCCCACTTCTCTCCCAGAGGCCCCCGGGGCCCCAGCTGAGTCCCCTCCTGGCTCTTGTTGCAGGTGCCGTGGCCAGCACCGAAGTCAAGATGAAGCTTCAGGAGTTTGTCCTCAACAAGAAGAAGGCCCTGGCGCATCGCAGTCTGAACCACTGCATCTCCAGTGACCCTCGCTACTGGTATGGGTAAGTGGAGGGCTGCCGGGCCATCCTGGAGGTGGGGGCAGGGGCTCAGCACCGTGGCCAGAAGTCTGGGGAGCCGCAGGCTGCCTTTCCCCCTCCTCCCGCTCCTCCTCCCTGCCTGCCTGCCTGCCTGCCTGCCCAACTCCGCAGCCCCCGGGCTCCCCAGCCCAGGCCGTTCTTGGAGCTTGGCCCAAGGCAGCATGACGCCTGGTTCCAGGGGCTGCCTCACTGCTCGGGGTCTTTACCAGGAAACCAGCTGGGGCTTCAGGAGGCAGGAGCTGCAGTCGACCCCAGGGAGTGCTGGGGGGGAGGGGACTTCTAGCCTGGCACTTCCCCACGCCCTCTTCTGCCCATCGCCCATTGGCAGCCAAGGCCAAGCAAGAGGGTGAGGAGGGCTCGTCTTCCTCCCCCTTTCCATCCGCGCCAGTTCCTCGGTCTGACAGAAGCAGGTTGCCTCACGTTAGCGGGGCTCACGGTCCCGACCTCCCTCTCACCCTGTGCCCCTGCAGAGCCAGCCTGGTTCTGGGCCAAGACCAGAGACCTCACTAGGCAGCCTCATCCAGTCTGGGCCTACCCCCCACAGCACCTGGCGCACAGTAGGCATTTGGGAAATGCTTACCGACCCGTCATGATGAGGATGGTGTCCGGCCCTGCCCTCAAGTAGCTGGGCTCTAGGGGACTCTGACGGCCCAGACCACCCAGCGTAAGGGCAGTGCGCCCCTGTGCGTGTTCATGTACTAGGAGCTCGTGACGGTGGCTAACGTTTGTATGGTGCTGACTGTGTGTCAGGCACCGTGTGGTGGACTGAGGCAAGCACAGGTGAGGTGAGTTGACTTGCCCAGGGTCACGAAGCTGGTAAGCGCCTGAGGCTGGATGGGAGTCCAGACCTTCCCGAATCCAGGCCCAGTGCTCTGTGCTCTGTGGCACCACCTGCATTCACGTGTGGAACCCACGGTATTTAGAGCGTCTCGGGTACAGCCAGTGATGGAGATGAAGGAACTTTGGAAACTGTCTAGTCTAAAGTCCTTAATTTTCAGTTGAAGAAACTGAGGCCCAGAGGGTTGAAGGGACTATAAAATAAAGGGCAGAGCTGTAATTCGAACTCGGGGCCTCCCACTCGAAATCCTTCCCTCTTAGATGGTGTGGGGGGGTTTTAGCGGAAGCTCCAAATCAGCGAAAATCCCAACCGCCCATTGCCCAGAGGAAGGGTCTTAGAATGAGCCAGAAGGAGCGTCCAAAGCCCCTGGGGCCTTGGCAATAGCGCTAGACTGGACGTCCCCCGAGGGCCTCCTCAGGCAGACGGTTCTGCCCTGGCTGCTCATTGGCATCTCCTGGCCCGAGCTGACGGTCCTTGCCTTGGGGGGCTGCCCTTTGCTGTCTCCCCAGTGCAGCGCCTGGCAGGTCTCGGTGCTCAGTAAATGTGGACTGATTGACTGCTCAGCTTGGCCACGGCGCCCCACACCCTCAAGCTCATGCTGCTTAGTGGGTTGGGGGCTCCCACTCCTGTGGGTAAAAGTGGCAGCTCCAGTCCTCCCTCTGAGAAACTCGGGGAGGATGGTGAAGAGCTCCTGAGTGGCCTGGGCACGAGGTGGAGGCCAGGGAAGGCTGAGGGGAGAGCGGCATTTTAGTGCAAAGAGAATGGAGGAGAGGAAAAGCGGGAGGGATTTCAGGGGCCAGGGGCTTGGCGTGTCAGAGTCCTCCTCCCAGGATCCCTTTGAAAGCTTGGTGATTCTTGGCTTCCCACCCAGTCTCCTCTGACCCCAAATCCTGTTTAATTAAGGGTGGTCGAGAGTGTCTAGTCTGACTGTCTCACAGAGGTTAGTGGAGACCTAGGGGGGGAACATGACTCCCCCAAAGTCACCCCAGTGGTCAGGGGCAGGGCAGCTGCTTGATACAGCGGGCCTTCCCCAGACCTCTGTTCTGTAGGACCGCCTACTGAGGCAGAGGCCCTGCACAGGCTTGCTTTGGGTGAGAAAAGTGAACCCCAAAAGGGCTTAGCTAGTGAGGAAACTGGGGAGAGAGAGGAGAGAGACAGAAGAGAGAGAGGCCCGTCAGCCGGGTCGGTCAGAGGTGAAGGGAGCTTTGAAAGCTCACAGTCAGGAATGTCCTGCTTTGGCTTCTTGTCAAGGTGACGGTCGTTCCCTGCCCAGCCTCAGTTTCCTCATCTGTAAAATGTGGTGGTAGATGGGATGAGTTCCCTGTGATGTCAGGGCCCAAAGGTGAAGAGCCCAGACTCGTGCCTCTGGGGCTTCTGTCAGGGAGTGGGAAGACCAGGCCTCTGAGGAGCTGGGACCCCAACAGGCTGTCCCCCAGCAGCCCGGTCTCCCTGGCACCTGGCACCTGCAGGTGCGGGTGTTTGCCTGCTCAGATAAGTCAGCAAATTGGCAAATTTGCTTCAGGTCATTAAGTAGATTAGGTTCATCAAAAGACATTTAAGATGCGAGCAGGAACGAGAGTTGGCAAAGTGGCTGAAAGGTGTGTGCGCCTCTGTGGCCCCCACAAGTCCCCCTTCTCTGCTCATGGCGCAGGGGGCCTGGAGCCGTCTTGCCCAACCCCTTCATTGTACCCAGGAAGGGTGGCCCGCCGCCCGCAGAGCACCCTGCCCCCAACCTTCTTTTCTTGCCACCCAGCTGTCAGCAGGATGAGGGTTGGGTACATACCATCTCTCCATATGCTTTATATAGTGCTCTAAGTCTTACTTGTCACAGGAATAAATACAGATAACTCAGAAGGAATTCTGAGCCCGCCTGAGGGAGGATTCTATCCTTTCTTCCCCTCTGGTCCTTTCTAGTCTCCCAGGGGGTGGTCAGCCTTCCAGTGAATCTGCCCCAGTGGAGTGCAGGCCTTTATCAGGCTTGGCGCCTGCCCTCAGGGAGCTTCCATCCCACTGGAGGAGAAACGCCCATGTAAATCAGCGTGTCTATACTGCCAGGGGCCAGGAAAGGCTGCAGGAGGAGGGCTGTGCTTGATCCCACTCTGTAATGAAGAGAGGGGTTCTTGGAGGCCAAGGTGAGAGGAGAAAGCATTCCCGCCATGGGAAATGGCAGTCAGGGAGGCAGAATTGAGGCGGGGTTAGCCGCACTGGCCCCGCCACTGTGGGCGCTCTCTTTCCTGGGCCCTCGGCTGGGAATGATGGTGTGAGTGGAACCCTCTGAGACCCAGAGGTGGGTGCCACAGGATGGGGCTCGCCCACCGAGCTCGTCCTGAGTGTCTCTGCTGGCACGGACCCTCCAGCGCGCTAAGTTTTATTTCATCTTTTTTCCCGTCTGCAGGAAAACTCAGCACAGCTCCCTGGACCAGAGCTCCCCGCCCCAAAGTGGGGGCCCGGCAGCCTACAATCACCCTGTGCTGGGGATGTATGACTCCAAAGACGACTTTCCTCTTAGAAAAACAGGTCAGTGTGCCGGCCCGACGGCATGTCCACGTCCAGGGATGGCTGAGAGCAGGGGGAAGCGTTGAGGGTGGGGTAAGGGGCGTCCCCCGTGTCCAGGCTGATCCCAGAACTGCCATGAGATGCCACAGATGCACACAGCTGCAGCCCTGGCATTTCTCCTGGCCCAGCTCTGGGTGACAGCAGTGGCCCAGTGCCCTCAGACATGCCTCCCCTGGGGCCACGCTTGCGTGGGTGAACGTGGAACCTCCAGACCTTCAGACCCTAGATCTAGACCTGGAATCCAGTCCTTCCCCCCCATCTTACAGATGAGTAAACTGAGGCCCAGTGACTGGCCCATGATCACACAGCTAGGCAACAGGAGAGCCAAGCTTTGAACCCAGGTTCCCTGATCCGTCAGACTGACGCAGGGAGTTAGAAGCAGCCTTCAAGGCCATCCTGATTCATGTTGCAGACGTCGGCCCTGATGCCCCCAGAGGTTAAGGGGCTGACCTAAGGCCACCCAGGGAGGAAGTGATGGTGGCAGGATCGAAACTCACTGTGTGCCAGGCACCTCGGGGGGACACTTGCAGCAGCTGTGTATGGAGAAGATACAGGATGAATAGGGGATAGCCGAGAGAGAAAAGGCGCGGAGAAGAAGGAACAGCCTTTGGTTCTTGGCTGCTCATTCGGCCACATCCTACTCCCCGTGACCGCATCCAGGGTTTTCTTGGCAAAGGTCCTGCAGTGCTCTGCCATGTCCTTCTTCATATCATTACAGATGAGGACACTGAGGCAAACAGGGTGAAATGATTTCCCCAGGGTCCCACAGCTAGTGAGTGAGACGGGCTTTGAACTCAGGTCTTCCTGACTGTGTGCTGTGGCGCCTCCTAGCTGCCTCAATAACGATGGCAGTAGCTGACGCTTCTGTTGCACTGAACCGTGTGCCAGGCACTGGTCTGAGCACTTGAGGAATATGATCTCCTTTGCGCCTCCCAACAACCCTCAGAGGCAGGTGCGGCTGCAGTCCCCTTTTACAGATACGGAAACTGAGGCAGACAGATTCAGAGTGACTGGCTCGGAGTCACACACCTAGGAAGGGCCCGAGGCGAGTGCCCTCTCCACTGGGCCACCCAGCTGCCCACTAACCGGGGGGGGGGAATTGGGAAAGTGTTTCTGTAGAAGGTGGGGTATGGGAGGGAGATGAGGAGGGAGAGGGTGCCAGGCATGGGGGACAGCCAGTGCACGTGCCCCGCGTCGGGACACAGAGGGTTTTGGGTGGCAAGCAGCCAGGGGAGGGGGCCAGGTAGGGAAGGGCTTTAAAAACAGCAGAAAGGATCTTGTCTGGTCCTGGCAGTGATGGGGGATCAGACTTGGGCTGCAGTCGGGGCCCTGGGGCTTTGTTAAGGGGACAGCTCCCGGCAGCCTCGGAGAAGCTGAGTGTCCCCCCTCCCCAGCCCCCGTCTCCCGAAAGCGGTCACTGCCTTTTATGTTGCCACAATCTCCCAGATTGGGAGGGTTCCTGTTTCCCTGGTAAGCGTGAGTGTCTGGGCTTGTGAAATACTTTTAAAAATAAAAAAGGGAAGAAGGAGGAGGGGGGAGGGGCAGGAGCAAGTGGCCGGCTGTCCAGTCAGCTGCTTGGTCGGCCCCTCCTCCCCCCAGCCAGTGTAGCTTCTCTCAGAAGAAACACGTGACCCAGACTTGAGTCAGCTCTGAGGAGCATTCCTGGAAAAGGCCTCCTTTGTGAGCCCGTGCCCAGGCCCCCAGCAGTGGCCAGCTTGCTCCTTCCTGTGTGGTGGCCGTCGGACTTGTCCGGGAAGGCTCACCCCCTTGGGCCCAGCCGCCATCTTGCCCTTGCCTCTTCCCCAGTGGCTCCAGCGCCCATCTGTGCTGCTTGGGAGAGGAGCCTCTGAGCAGCACGGATGATTCAGGAAGCCACAGAGCCAGCGTTTATATTACAAAGAAAGGGTTGGCCTTGCCAACGCTGGTGTGAACCCGGCTCAAGGGGAATGTTGAAACTACTTAGAAGGCAGCCTTTTCAAGCACCCTCAAGTGTTTAAGAAGTATCTATTTACAAATAGTGGGTAGGCCAATTCTCAGTCCTCCTCCTCCCTCCTTAGAAACCGGTCCCCCAGGATCGTCCCGAGGCAGCCCCTCATTAACTTGGTTCTGGTTAGAGAACACTCTTGAAAGAACATTAGATAATATTTGGGTATTCAGTCAGCAAACATTTATTAATGGGAGTCTGGCCAGTCATCCCTGCCCGCAGGGAGCCTCAGCGCCTTCCTCAGCTCCTAGAATCGCCCCTCCCTTATCCGTGGGCCTTCCTTACAGTGAGTCCCTGAGGCTTTGTTGCATCTTTTCCCCTCTTTGCGTCCAAAGTGACACCTCCTGGGGTCAGGCCCAGTACTCAGCCCTTGGGGTGTGAAGACAGGGGTGAGAAGGCCCCTGCCTCAGAGAGCTTCCATTCTGCTGCAAAGTGCAGCTGGACTTTCTGGTTATCAGGCACCCTGGTATTTTTTAATCTAGGAGGCTTTATGTTTGCTCAGTGAACGCATGAGAGAAGGGATACAGTCCCATCTGACAGATGAATAAATTGAGGCTTAGAGTTGATGTGGCTGGGGAGGATGGTGGTGACTTGTGGCATCTAGATGTGTCTCGTTTGTGGCTCTGGTTCATCTTGATGGATTTCGATGGCTAGGACCACCAGGGGCCTTGGAGATCAGATCCTCCTTGCCAACCTGCTCATTTTATTTATGGGAAAACTGAGACATTCAGCTAGCAGGGCTGAGACTAGACCCCTTGGTCTCCAGCGGGGATGCCAGGGCCAGGGAGTGAGAAGCCCCCGGTTTCTTGGTGTCTTTGGGATGGGAGAAGGGCCTTTAGATCTCCTCAGGTCCAAAGCGCTAATGGACACGTGACTCCCCCCTCTCTCGACTCTGCTGGAATACCGCCAGTGAGGGGACCAGGAACGTGCTTTCTTTGGGTCAGAGCTAATTGAGAGCACCTCCTTTCTCATTTGGGAACTGAAATCCCCTCTGTAACCTCTTCCTGCTTGCTCCTGCCCCTGGCCTGGGCCCACCCTCCAGCCCTCCTCCCCTCCCCTCCCCACTCTCTTGGGCCCCAGGCTCGTCTTTAGTAAGCCTGGTCCCCACCTGCACCCTTCTGGACACATGCTCCATTTTCTCAGCATCCCTCATAAAACCCAAACTGAATAATCCTGCAGGCAGGTGCAGTCTGACCCGATCCGGCCAGTGGGAAGCGAGACCTTCTTTGTGGATGCTGCGCTTCTGTTCTGTTACTTAAGGGAACAACGTTGGGGGGCTGGGGTCGAGGGTGATTCACAAATCTCGCCGTCCACTAAAACTGTTTTGGCTGTTCCCGTGTCCGCTGCTGTCCTTAAACAGACCTCTACATGAACAGTTGGTTTGTTTAAATTTAATTTAGTTTTATTTCCAAATGAAGATTGACCTTCTCTGCGTCCCCCCTGCCAATTGAGAAACCAAAAATAATAACAAAGCTTGTTTCTAAGGTGTGTTATCACCTTTAGCAGGCCAGATTCCTGCCTGGTCATGTCCCAAACCTGCCTGCCTCGGTCCACCCTCAGAGTCCATCAGCCACGTCTGCCATCACATCTCCGGAGTCATAGCTCAGCTAGTCATTGCATTGGCCCTTCAGGCCGTCTGTCTCTACAGCATGGTTTCTGGTTCTGCTCAGCTTGCCCTGCTTCGGCACACACAGATCCCCTCTGTTTCTTTGAAATCGCTTCCTTCACTGTTTACGGCACAATAGCATTCTATACCATTCATACATCATAACTTGCTCATGTGTGCCCCAGTTGATGGGCATCCCCTCCGTTTCCAATTCTTTGCCACCACAAAAAGAGCCACTCAAAATAGTTTTGTCCATGTGGGTCTTCTTCCTCTCTTTTTGATCTCTTTTAGGTAAAGACCTAGTAGTGGCATAGATGGGTCAGAGGGCGGCACCATTTAATAGCTCTGGGGGCATTGTTCCAGATTGCTTTCCAGAATAGCTGGACCCGTTCACAGCACCACTAAGTCATCAATAGACCTGTTTTCTCCAGCCCTCCTACCATTTGTCCTTTTTTTGGAGGTGTGGAAGGGGTCAACATTTCCAGTAGGAGGGTATGAAATACAATTTCAGAGTTTTTCTAATTTGCGTTTCTCTACTTAGTAGTGATTCAGAGCATTTTTTTCCCATATGGGTACTAATAACTTGGATTTCTTCTTCTGAAAACTCCCCATGTATATCTTTTGACCATTTATCAATTGGGGAATGGCTCTTATTCTTATAATTCTTATAAATTTGGATCAGTTCCCTATCTATCTTGAAAATGAAGCATTTATCAGAGTAACTCGCAGCAAAGATTTTTTTCCCACTTAGCTGCTTTTGAACTGTTTGGTTTTGGGGCCTAAGTGAAGGACTTTACATTTATCCTTCATAGGAGTCTTATACTGATGTGGACTTATTCCTGTTTCAGTTCACTGATCATTGTTTCAAAGATCATGTCCTCTCCAGCAGATTGAATGGCTCTTCCAGGTTTGTGTTAACAGTAACTCTTCATCTAAGTCATTGGATCTTGGATTTTGGAGGCCATCCAGCCCCACTCCCTCATTTTACAGAAGAGGAAACTGAGGCAAACAAAGGTGACATGACTTGCCAGAGATCACGCAGCTAGGAAACATCTAAGGCAAAAATTGAGCTCTGATCCACTGATCAATAGCCGTCTGTAATGTACTTTTTCAGACAGAGCATGTCAAAGAGTTCTCTTGGAAACCACATCTCTCCCTCTTCTTGACTGGTCAGCGACTGTACTTTCCAAGTTTTGTGCTTTTGGCTGCATCCCTTTCCAGCTGCCTTTCCTTGTAAAGCCTTGTTTTTCTCAAGTTTAGAATGTGTGCTAGTGTGTGTCCAGGGCTCTCCTCCCGGATGTCCCGTGCTCACTGTGTGCCTCAGTTCCCATCTTTGTCTGCTGTTCCTTCTTGTTCCTCAGAATTGGATCG